CCCTAAACTTTTATTAAAGTAAATAAACCCCCTAAATTTGGTAATCTTGGTAATTTAACCCCCTTTATTTACAACAGGCTTAATACCCATTTGTGCCTCACTTACATGGACAAAGTATTGACATGTTATTACCCACGTTGTAGGTATTGACCTTGTCCACACAAGTAATGCATAAACATGCGTTAAGTTAGTCGTAAAGAAAAGAATTAAATTGCCTAAATCACCAAGTTTGAGGGCTTATTTATTTCAAAAAAAAGTTTAGGGACTTAATCATGAATTTGGATATGTTTGAGACCTTAACAAAGGGTTTTGCCATTATTTTACAATTAAACTCTTAGTTTTTGGTTATTTTAAAAAAATTCTATTAGAAAAATAAGATAGAGTTAAACATACAAGCTTTTAAAACTGAAAACTACTTAGAGTGTCAATATGACAATATAGGTGTTGGCACTTCTGCTTCAAGTTTCACCTATAGTGCTTATTTGCACTAGTCAAGGAGTTGGAAGGCTTATTTGCACTGTTTTTAGCTCAAGGATTTAAATGCTAATTTGAGCCAAGTCTAGGGGCTTAAGCAGGGTTTTTTTTGCCTTTTTATGCAATTAAGCGGTTCTAACTAGAAACTAATGGAATTGGCTAATTGGCTAATTGGCTAATTGGCTAATTGTATGCCTTTAAACGGTTTGAAAAGTTCAGTTTGAATTTTCTAATTTTATGGAATTTTCTAATTGAATTTTCATTTTGAAACATTGAAAATTTCTCTTAATTAGTAATTAAGTCGGTAGGCAATTAATTTGTACTGTTGAGTTACTAACTAAAAAACTAATGAAATTGGCTAATGCTTTACATTCTCTGCAATTTCACTGAAATGAAACCAAATTTCTCCAAAGTTACCCCATTCCAAGAATGGACCATGTATTGGAACTTATAGATTGGTCTTCATTTTGCCTTTCCACGACACCCCGAATTACACGTTCAACTTTACCGTTAAAAGTTTTGGCCATTCGTTTTCCCTAGAAATGTGCTACCCAAAATAACTAATATTTTTTTGTTCAAAATTTATCCAAAATTAACTATCATTTTTTCAATTTTAAAAATGACATATTTTTTTAACTTTAATTTTACAGTTTTCATTTAATTTTAATTTAACTATTTAATCTATCACCAAAACTTTCTTGTTATCTTTTTCTTTTCTTAAGAGTAATGCACATAAAAAAAAATAAAAATGTTATAGTTATAATCTCACGTGACATTATAAACTTATAATATAATGTGTTATTATATAATTAACTTTTTTTATTTGAGAATTCACCAATGATATTGTTTGTATACACTTATTTAATGTATGTTATAATTGTAAACTTACAACCAAACAAGGCATTATAACTATAGTATTGTTGTGTAGATAAATGCATAAAATATCTTTAAATCCTAATTAATATGAGAAAAAATAAAGATTAACTATTTTTTAAAAACAAAGAAAATAATTTTTATCCAACAACTTAAATAATTCAATGATAATCTTTCAAATGGAAGTATAATAGATCTTTAATTCAAGTTATGTGACATGTGATTGTGGTAGGTTAAGGAATAGAATAATTTTACCTCCCAATGTCCAACTTAGGATAAAAAAAGAAATTGTACATATTTGAATAGATTTAATAGATTAACTAATTAAATGAATAAAAAAGTACATCTTTTATAGTTCAAGGATGAAAAAAAATAAAAAAAAATAGTTTTAAGGACTAAAATTATTTAAAATTGATAGTTCAAAAACTAAAATTGATATTATGTAATAGAAACTCAGTTCATTTTAACTTTTATTGTTTTCTATTATTCCTTAATTTTTGTTTGCCATTTTTCTTTCTATTGCAAAATTTTCAAGTTTTATTGGTTCTTTTCTTATGTTGTTGATAAATTAAAGCAAGATTTTGATTTTTGTATAAAGAATAAGTAAACCGATGGAAAATCCATGTTTTATTGGTGCTTTTCAGTTTATGAATTTGAAGGGGTCTAATTGAAGTGGTTATGTGGGGGGTCACTCTTGGGTTCCTATCTGATGCAAGAAAGTTCTGTTTAATTTCTTGAAGTGATCAGCATCAAACTTTTTTCCATAGAAAGCGCGTCGAGGAAATCTTTAGGTATCTGCTAGTAAGAGTTTTCTTTTGATGCCTACAGTCGTTGACTTTTTTTCTTTCTGGCCATCAACATAGGCGACGGGCTTTGACTTAATTGACTTATAATTTCATTAATTAATTAATAAAAATTTATCTTCTCAATGCTTTGTGTGACCAAAATATACAGACAAATGCACAACTGCCCTTGACTAACTTTTAATGAGCTAGCTAGACATTAATATCTGTTGTTCGGATGAGAATTGCGTTCTACAACACAACTGAATTGAAAGCCAAGGTTCCTCCTTCATGGCCCAAATGAACAGAATACAGATCGTAAAAGAACCATATTTAGCATTTACCTTCTCTTATTTGTGCTGTTTTGCCTTGGCGGATTTATGTTTGAACGTTTTAAAGGTTCTACATCTTCTTTGGTCGTGTCGGGATTACTGGTCTTAGGTTCTAGCACTTTGGCCATAATTTTCACTCTGTTCCTTCTATTAGCTTTGCTCATTAGATCTAGCATAGTTATTTACAAACTTTTTTTATAGTGTTGTTACAAAATTTGTGGCAATTTTAATGTTCTTAGGTACTAGTGATATTTTGGCTGCCGTTCAACAAAAAACTTGTGATATTTTGGCTTTAATTTTCAGTCTGTTCCATCGTTTGAGGAAGGGTGGTTGGAAGCGAAGAGAAAGTGAAATAGATGTTATTGCCATTGATGTGTCCTTTGGTGATGAATTTGAGAATGGGTTGGGACCTAGGAAGTTTTCTTACAATGAATTGTCCAAAGCATTGAAGAATTTGGCCGATGAAGAGAAGCTCGGCGAGGGAGGATTTGGAACAGTTTATAAAGGTGTATT